ATTGTTAAATATTATCTCATTAATAATTCACAATAATAATTCACACTAAACTAAATAATAATAAAGTTTCAATCCTAGCTAGCTATATTAATTATGCATCCCATTAACAATAATTGCTAATAAATAATAATTGGTGATAATTAATAACCTAATAATTAAGCTAGCTAACTAATTAATTAAATCACTACAAGTCACTAATTAATTAATCTATAATAAGCTAGCTAATACTTAAATCATCACTACACATCCTAAATTATTATGCATTAATAATAACAATAATTTAACTAATTAATATTTATATTTAAATTTAACTAATTAAATTACGTTAATAGTTTAATAATATATTGTTAATAATATGAAAATTAACATGACCTCACTAAATTTCGTTAATAGTTTAAATAAATGAACAACTAACCTCACTAATTAATTATTAAGCTAATAATTAATTATTATTATATAAAGAAAAAAGAATCCTAACCTCACTAATAATAATTAATTATTAAGCTAATAATTAATTTATCACACAATTAAAAGAAATTAGTTAAAATGACATACCTTATCTGCATAAACTCGGAAAATGATGAACTGACGGATTACATCATTCAATCTTTAAACCGATACTACATCACTCGAATCTACGAATTTTTGAACTGATAATTGTTGTTCTTGCAATTGTAATGGACGATGGAGTTGGGTTATATAAAAAAATTTGTCACGGATTTGTCACGGATTTATCCGTGACAAATCTTTTTCCGTACCGTATTATTAAAGGTTACCGCTGGAAAATCAATAATTGAGTTTTTTTGAAATTTGTCACGGATTTGTCACGGATTTATCCGTGACAAATCTTTTCCCGTACCGTATTATTAAAGGTTACCGCTGGAAACTCAATAATTGAGTTTTTTTGAAATTTGTCACGGATTTGTCACGGATCTGTCCGTGACAAATGCCCGGAAGCAAAAAAGTATTCACCGGAGTAAAAAACCGGTCGCCGGAGTAAATTTGTCATGGACCAAATCCGTGACAACATTTTGTCACGGATTTGTCACAGATTTATCCGTGACAAATAATTTTCGTGACAAATCCCAAAATTCCGTGACAAAGCCCGTGACAAATTTGTCACGGCCGGAATCCGTGACAAAAATCCGTGACAAACGGCGTGTTTTTTTGTAGTGCTAAGACTACAATCCTAAAATGTAATTTCATCTTCTAATACCTAAAAGTACTACATTGGAGAGAGAAAATTCTCCCTCCTAAGCATTCTCCCCCTAAAATCCTAAAATGTAATTTCACTTTCCGCAAAAAAAAAATCAGCATCATCCTATACCTAAAAGCGCTACACCGAAGAGGGAAAATTCTCCTGCCTAAGCACTGTCCACCTAAAATCCTAAAATGTAATTTCACTTTCCGCAAAAAAAAAATCATATACCTAAAAGCACTACACTGGAGAGAGAAAATTCTCTCGTCTAATAAGAGTCACAAACAATCGTTGAAAAAGGTTGTCATCTTACTCTGACACCCCTTCATTACTCACAAACATTTGTACGTGGCGGTGTGGAGAGTAACAAGTCCATGAGATTGGAGTTTGTAATGACGAAGATGGACAACCAACCAAATCAACATTGAATGTTGTTTACAAAGAAATATGTACTATAGAGTAATTTATAATTTTCGTTATAGTGCGGTGGACTTATATGCACATTCATTTCATCGTGTGATGTTTTACATTTAGTTCTTACCATTTATTCAGAACTTATTTAATGTTTTCAAATAATTCTAACACAATCATGTTTTTTTAAATATTTTTAAATATATAATTATATCTAAATTATTATGTGGATGTCTCACTCTCGTGCAGCGCACGGGTGGGGTAACTAGTCAATCCCAATCCCTAATTAAAACTACTTACAATTCACAATTGAATTAACACTAGAATTTAGAACGAAAGAATTAATTGTCATTAATTAAAAAGATTGAACTTACAAAGAATTCCAAGATCTTGACAATCCTAGACTTGAAAAGCTCTCAAAAAACTTTCTAGAGTTTATCTCTCTAAGCTCATAATAAAAAACAGACAAAAACGGGCTGAATTTATAGAAATCAGCAAAAGTGGTCGAAATTCGGTACGCAGGGTCGTCCGCACGGCGTGTGGCTTCGTGCGCACGGCTTGCACCTTTGCAGTCCAAATTTGACTATGATTCTTTCACCGTAGTTGTAGATAATGAAGTCATCTATCCACCACAACTTGCTAAACTGATATTGGATCACTCTATTAAAGGATATGAATAAAATGGTGGAAGGTCGCATCCTGAAATCCTGACAGCGATTATCTGACTTTCTTGTCTGTTTTCACCTTAATCCTCTTGCATTCTCATCATGGTGTCTTCATATGAATTGTATCTCTTTAAGTTCAATTTCATATGGAACTTGAATCATGTACTTAGGATGTTTCTACAAAAAGATATGCTTGAACGATTGACATAACGTCATCTTGATCGCTGTTTTTAAGGTTTATTTGTTCCCGTGAAACCTTAAAGTTCTCCTAGTGTAGTGCAAGGTAAGAGCTCTAGCTATATAAAATTGATTCATTTTTCAGATTTTTACTAGACATTACCCCATTCTAATCTCGGCCTCACCAAGGAAAAATTAGCAATTGAAGTTCATTAATCATGTTAATCCATGCCTAAAATGGAATCCTCGAAAATATCAAATTCCTAAAAAGTGTCTGCTCTTACCTCATTCGGAGCATAGAAACAGTGCCAAAATTGACTCGTACAAAAATCCCTAAACTTGACAAATTAATCTTCTAGCACCCTAAACACCAAGATAATGTCAGAATTATTCACGAGTAAGAACACATGTCATTTGGCAATAGAGCTCAACTTATGGGTAAAAGAACAAAAAGATGCCACTCAAAGTGGCTTTTTCTTAAAGGACTTATTGAGGAGGTATGGAAAGTAATGAATCAAATGGGTAACTAATACCTTCTTCATCTCAACAACTAGATTAATTGTGTAAGCAATTTAAGCCTAAAAACTACAAAGACATTTTACTAGCATAGTCACAACTCTAGCTAGCTCGCGAAGAAACATATTAAAGAATAAAAAAAAATGACATGACTTTTTTACGATTATACAATAAACACCAGTGCATGCTGACACTAGTAATCTCATGTAACACTAATGCCCGAAAGCTCAACCCCCCCCCCCCCCCCCCCGCCTACTTAAACTTTGGCATCACCCTCGATGACTAAAAGTGAAATATGAACTGGGGGTAAAGAGGAATGGGTCACGAGTGCTCAACTAACTCAAGTCAATAAAAATAACAACCAGGGAAGTAGAAACTCCCCTAGGTCTTTGTCTTGGGAACCAAACACATCAGTTAGGATTTTCAACGATACATCGGCTGAATTTATAGAAATGAACAAGAGTGGGCGAAATTCGGTACGCGGGGTCGTCTGCACGCTGTGCGTTTGACAGCGCGGGCGATTTCTGCGTCAAATTTGTTCTTCTGCACGGTGCGCAGCTTCGGGCGCACATCATGCGCCTTTCCCGTCCGAATTTGACTATGCTTCCTTCATCAAAGTTATAGATAATGAAGTCTTCTATCCACCACAACTTTCAAAACTGATATTGGATCATCCATTTACATGATATGAATAAATTGGTGGACGGTCGCATCCTGAAATCTCAACAGCGATTATCTGACTCCCTCGTCTGTTTTCACCTTGATCATCTCACATTCTCGTCATGGTGTCTTTATATCATTTGTAGCCCTTTAAGATATCTTTCATATGTAACTTGAATCATGCATTTTGGATGTTTCTAAAAAAGGTTTGCTTGAACGCTTGACTATACATCATCTTGATCGCCGTTTTTAAGTTATATTGGTTCCCGTTTGATCTCGTACTTGATCCTTGAGCTCTTCTGACTTCAAAATCACTCCTTTAATGAATCGTGGACCTTCAATGCTTCTCAATAACTCTCAAACGTGTCTCGAGTCTTCCCGATTAATTCTCCAACGCCGGTGTCGGGCTCAAATTCGTAATTTTCTTTTCTAAAAACAACAAACGCACACCAAACCCAGTAAAACGTAACTTGAGCTAATTAAACGCTTTGTGACTCATATAGAATAAGAAAAGTGGCAAAACTCAATCCCAACACGCAGAAAATGCGTGTTGAAATATGAACTTATCAAGCCTATATTTTCTGCTTAGGTTTAAAGGTAGTTTCATGGAGTTCAACAAAGCAGAAAAATGTGGAACTTCTATATACCGAAGCAGAGTACGTAGTAACCACAGAAGCAGCTTGTGAAGCAGTTTGGTTGCAGAGAATGCGTGCAAATTTGATGCAAGGGTAGAAAGTCTTATGACTATTTTATTAGTGATTTGGTTCATTTGTAATTCATAAACACAAATGATAAGTTTGAGGAGTTTAAGGAACAACTGAATATTTCAAATTAAAGGGGGGTTTGTGAAATAACTTGAAATTTCACCAAATAATCTATTCTGGAAAATGCTAGAAATTCCAGAGTATTATGATGAAATAAAGAGTCTAGTTGCATTTAGTTACATTTAATACTCTTAGGATTTATTAGGTGTCTTTTGACCTTCTCATTCCTAGGAGAATCTCTAGATCTTTCGATGTAGCCTATAAAAATGTCGTTTGTCAAAAATTTGATGTAATGCTAATGAATAATAACTTTTCAGTAGAAATAAAAAGAGCAACTAACTCAAATTTAAATTTTTCCAGAGATTCATTTTGTCTAGCAAAAGATCCAAACATCTCCGGACTCTTCTTTATTTTAATGGAAAATTCATGTATTGATATTAAATTGATCATAGACCTTACACCCGAATCCAAATCACTACCATTTTTCCAGCTTGACTAGAAACTCGAATGTTCTCTCACTCTCATATCAGACAAAAGAAACGAACACCTCATGCAGAGTTGATTGTTTCGTTATTCATGCGAAAGCTTTAAAGAGAAATAAGGCTCACAAAGTCTTAATGCTAGCTTTTGATTAGCTTAATAAAACTTAAACAAGACTAAAATGATACTCCAACACACCCCCCAAGTTTCACAAAACAAATTAACTTGAACAATAGAAAAGTATGAATTATATAAACCTAAATTACCCGTCCTGTCGGGTCGGGATGGGGGCTCCTGGGGTGGGAGATTCCACCTTTTGGAACAATATAAACCTAAATTAAAAGCACAAAGAGAGAAAAAGTGCTTCCCAACCACTGATACTCCAGCTCCGGCTACCGTACAAGTCTGGGCATGTCGAGTCCTCTCAACCCGCCACTGCTTTATTTTTTGGTTCGACCTCCATGTTTTACATATGGTAGCTTTCCTCCTCATCCTCTAGCCTTCTGCGGCGTTTATGTTATGACTTCTTTGTGGCTCTCTCAGAATCTGGTGTCGCCGCCACTGAGTCTGACTCATATTTTCCTTACGTGAAAAACCAGTGCCCGGCCTCCGACTAACTATTTATTTCCGTTTTCAATTTGCAGTTCGATCCACGAAACTCTAAGCCAAGATCCATACAATCGCTCCATTAGTTTTAACTTACCATCCAATACAAAAATTAGGAATTTCACCCAAATCCAATCCCTCCATGCTTTTTTAAGTTTAACCTACACTACAGAGGTCTCTCAATATCCATAACTAACCTAATACTCATAAATAAATAAAAGGTTTCCCAGCAGCCCCAAAATTATACTCATCTATCACCAAGATGAGCCAATAAAATTCCCAACGCGTTTTGCAACTTCCCGGGTAAAATATTCAACAGATTAATTGTGAATTTGAACTCAAAATTCAATTTTGTTTAATTAGTGAAACCAATAATGGCAGATTTCCTTACGTAATGATGTTAATTTCATACTCCCTCCTTCTCTAAATAAAAGAATCTGTTTCCTTTTCGGGCGTCCCTAAATAAAAGTTCCTTTCCTTTATTGGCAAACAAAACAGTGCAAAACAGTGCCAAACAATGTCCAAACAGTGCCAAATAGTACCAACCAAACCCACTTTCTTAAAATGTGTGGAAAACGAATGGATACTTTTATATAGAGACGGGGGGAGTATATTTTAGTGGGGTTAAACCGTTAACGTGTAGTCTAGTGGCGGACTGAAAGAGTTTTTTTTGAAAGGAAATAGCTTATAGTAGAATCAAAAGAGTCATTACATCAGTCAAGATCCAAAACCAAATACTCCCACTAGACCCACAATACCAAAAGCTCATCGACCCTCTCACGTAATGCCCAGACATAGAATAGTTCATCCCAATAGGAGCGAGACTAATCGCTGAAATGGGGAGAGTAAAGAAGCTATTAGCGGCTGTGATAGCTTGATTGCCTCCATCAAGAAAAAACCTACTCAGAAAACCACAACCTACCATACCCACACCCTTATTGTAAGTGAAAGTAAAAAAACCAACACACAACTGAGTTCTGAAAAAGAAAAAAAAATGCAATAAAAATAACATTCCAGGTGATGGATGCTGTAAACTTCCATCCCTTGTGCCTACCCCATCTCATCTTCTATTTGCCTGATAGGCGGGCATTGTATCCCGTTTTTTGTTATGCTCGTCTCCACATCCATATCCTTATGTGCTGCTTCTTGTTCCTCATGATCCACACATCTGCGCTTCCGTTCCACCTTATCTCCTGTCTGAGCATTGTCCTTCTCCTGTTGCGGTCTTCCATCAGCATCCGAACTGGCCATCCCTAATACCTCTTCTTCGTCTTTTCCTTTCCCTTTGCCAACTGGGACTAGCCATTTATTGCCTACCCGAGACGTGTTTCCTTTTGAAGCTCTAAGTTCGGGTCCAAAGCGAAAGCATCCACTTTTTCCCATGCCATTAGGATAATGCGGGCAGAACCTTTCAGCATGACCTATAACTCTGCAAGCAAAATAAAAACTAGGCAATTTTTCATACCTAAATTTAACGCAAAAGCTTTCCCCTTTGTCTGATTGGAGAAACAGTTTTCTCTTCAGAGGCCTGTTAAAATCAATACTAACCCTTACTCTCACGTAGGGGTTCCATTCCACAGAGAAATTCTTTTCATCCGCCTTGATAAAACACCCTACAAAATTCCTAATTTTTATAGCATTTTCAACTGAAAAAAATCTCATTGGTACGTCATGAACTTGTAACCAGAAATCAGCCCTATTCAGCAGAATTTGCAAAGGCGGGTCACTTTGCTTTAACCTAGCAAGCACAATTAGGTTCTAGTCGAAGGTCCACGGCCCGTCCTCTAACACACGTATCATATCATTTTCATTGTAAAATTGAAACATGTATCTTCGTGCACCTATCTCAGTAATAGTAACACTTCTAGTAGGCTTCCACACATTGGCCATAGTGTCACGCAAAAAAAGAAAATCGTACCGACTTTTCAAAAGTGATTGTTCCAACCACGGTCAGCCCTACCTCCGTGATCTCAGAAGTTTTAGCCGCCACGAGAAGGACTTCATATTCTTCCTCCATCTCCAATCTTCCATACGCGTTTGCTAGCCTATTTATCTCCTCCATCTCGTTAACGTCGCCCATATTGGATTTCCTTCCTTCGCAAAACCTGTATCAGGCAACCCAGAAGAAATCAGCCGCAACCTGCAATCCGCAGCCCTGCAACCCTGAACCCTTGCTCGTTCACTGTAAGAATAAAGAAGTTGATCGAAGAAATCTACTGGATCGAAGAAATCGCTATAAAAAAAAAACAAATGGATGCACGCTATAAACAACGGCGTTCCTTAGCCGGTTAGCCCCTGCACCGATCGTCGAGCGAAGGAAAATCGCCGACCCCAAAATCGCCGACTTACCCTAGTTGCGACGGCACAATCTAAAATTTTAAAAGTCTATTCTTGTAAAACAATGATAAATTGACATTTGAAAACTGTATGTAGTATATTACAATGAAGCATATGAAATGAATTTTGGCGGACTGAAAGAGTTAGGTAATGATATGGTAAATTGCTCCACTAAGTAATTATAAAAATGCAGTTTTAAAAAAACACGTAAATTGAAACCACAACAATTTCCGGCGTAGTGAGAGAGGCCCTAATCAACGTTTCTATCTAGCGGTTTTGCCGTCGCGTAAGGTTTTGTCTCCCTAGCAGCTTTCTCGTGGCGTAGGGTTTCTTTCTGCTAATTGTTTGTACGACTCTTCTTTTCTAGACTTCTAGAGTACTTTTTAAGGAGGCGTGAGTGCGACTGCAGTCTTTGGAAATGAATCCAAGGTTCAAGAAACGATAACCATGACTTCTATGAATGATCATTCTAGAGCAATGTTGTCTCATTCTTACAATTGAGGAGGAAGTCGAAGAGTTAGTTTCTGATGAATCAATATGAGTAGAGGGCGGTGGTGGTAGTGGAGGTGGAACGGGCGACGAGAAGACGGGGAGAGGTGAAGGGCCGAGCAAGGGAGAAGACATATCGGCGGTCCCTTCCCCTCCCGAACCGCCACCTTGGAGCGATCGAGGTGCTTTGGTTTGGAAGATTTATCAGTTATTTATGTTGCTCTGTTTTTTGTTGATGCCTTAAGTTTTAGCTCTACAATTATGATTGACAATTCTGCTAGATATTATGTCGTTAGAAGGATCTATACGGCTAGTGATTGTTGTGTCACAATCGCTAGGTAGTTAACAATTCATATTGCTCTTTCGGGAGTGATCGTCTCTGATTCTAGCCGTAGGGTTGATAGTGCTAGTTGGTTAGGGATAGTTGTTGTCAGGGTTGATCTTTTTTAGTTTGTTGTAACGATCTAATTCCTAATGATATTAATATAAGTGGTTTGTTTTGATGATAAAAAAACCACGTAATGACAATTTTGTTAAGAGTAAATTGCCTGCATAGGAGTAAAAAAGTTTTGAAATTCCAAAATAGGACTATCATGTTTTTTATTCCCTAAATAGGAGTAAATTTCTGCCAAGTTTGACATTACTAGGTTTTTAAACATGACATTTTTTTCCAAGCTTGGAAGATTACTCCTATTCAAGGAATAAAAAACATGATACTCCTATTCAAGGAATAAAAAACATGATACTCCTATTTTGGAATTTCAAAGCGTTTTTACTCCTATTTAGGGCAATTTCTATTTTGTTAATAAGCGGATTTTTTAACAAATGTGATACCGAAATCAAAAAGTTCACTGATAATATCGAACCGGACCGATATGGTACTGGACCGAAACACGGGTTTTGAAACAGATCTCAAAAACTTTGTCCCAAACCGGACCAGTTCCAAACAATGTCATGACCAGTTCTCTATAATTTATCTGAAATTTATTAATTATGCAATAGTTTTTTTTTGAAAGTTACTCCCTCCATCCACTTAACTTTGTCCCGTTTTACCTTTTTCGACCGTCCCATTAAGTTTGTCACATACTACATTTGTAATATTTGAGTGGTTACAATTCATTCTTACTTTATTCACAATTCATCAATTCAATATCAACCACACAATTCTACTTTTTCTTAAAAACCAGAACACACCCCTTTGTCCTAAACTTAGGAGGACGGAGGTAGTATTAATTATGTAATATGAAAATTAATAAATTTTGTGAATTTTTGGAGGATGGTAAACTTTAATTTCCCCTTAAACACTTGAAAAAAGTTGCATTATTGGGTATTGATATGACATAGTACCGTCCCGCTTGAAAATTGAATTGTACCTAATGTGTTTAGGTTTAAGACTGAGCCAAACCGAACAGTTTAGATAGTCACGGTACGGGTACGGGTTCAACAAAATATTGGACTGGACCGGACCGTGCCCACCCCAGATGGGCTGCAAAAGTGCATATATTGCATTTTAAATGTTAAAGACCCATTTTTATTTAATCCTACCCTTATATATTATGGCTCTCATTTCTCAAAAATTATTAATTGATGATTCGACACTTCTGAACTGCTAACCAATAGATAGATTCAAAGACAAAGAAAAGATTTAGATTTAAAGACTACTCTATATGACTAATAGATAGATTTAAAATGTTATGTTTAAGAGACAATGATGAATTACACCAAGACCGGAATGGAACTCTCACCATCTCAACGTGATATTGATTATTGATGCACATCTGTTTAGAATAAAAAGGCATTGACAAAGAAAGAAGAGAAAGGAAGCATTCAAAGTTTGGGTTACACCAAGAAAACTGGTTTGTCTTAGTGCAAATTACCTGCATAGTCTACTTTTAGGTGCAGAATATCATTTATGGCCAAGTTGATCTTTCTTTTCATTTTTAACTTTTCTCTTTTCATTATTGGTTTTTTATTTCACTTTTAAGATAAGTTTTGCCGACCTATGCGCTTACTTCCATCTCCTTTCTACCAAATTAAAGAGGCATGAGTTATCTGAGAATCCTCTCCTAATAACATCTCGAGCTATGATTTGGCTTTAGAATGAGGTATGCCGACCAAAAACTCAAAAACCAGAGGTTGAATCGTTGTTGTCACGCTGAATCTGATTTTACGATTTCTTTGTTTCGTGGTTTATAATTTGTGTTGCTTTGTTGTTCTTTGATCGAAATTTTCTCCTAATACCATTTCCGAGCTTGGATTTGGGTTTCATATGATGTATGCCGGCCAAAAACTCAAGAACGAAAGGTTGAATCGCTGTTGTTGTTCATACCGCCTCTGTTCTTTGTGCTATTTCCGTCGTTGTTAGCGCTTTAGTTCTAAGACGAAGGCTGTTTTTCTGCTATTTCTGGACTTAGCTGGGCAACACGGCTCTGAGTTGGCCGTATTTGAGAACATGTAATTAATTGATACTTTGTACTACATTTGAAACTCATTGCAAAAAGGAGTTGTATTAAGACTACCACATCTCCAATTCTTCTTATGTCATAGCTCCTAGAGTTACATCCCCACCACTACTTTCTTGTTGTTTCCCGTCATGAATGTAAATAAAAAAGTTGAACTATGAACTCATTGAACCCTTATCTATGTTGTAATTGTATTCTTTTGTTTTGTTATATTATGTTGCATTTTATTTCATTTTGTTGCGTTTTGTTTCATTTTGTTGCTTTTTGTTGTGTTTAGTACTTATTGTTGGAATATCTTGATGTGTGTATTATAAGGCTAAGAACTTCAGCAATGGCGAAGAAGAACCAAGGTTACGGACAACCTTCAGAGGTGCGAATCACTAGGTCAACTGCTTCTAGTATTATCCGCTGGGAAGTTGAAACCTGCACGGCCGGGAACTCCAAATCCTATGCTATGTCACCTTTAGGGTCGGACAAATCTTCTACTGAGCCAGACAAATCAGATGCTTCTACTGAACCGACTACCCTTGCAAGAGCTGGAAACATGCACTGTTGACAACATAACAAATGCTACTGCCAACCCACTAACTTCTACAAATGAGGGAGGTGGGAAACTGGAGGCTCAAGCAGGACATGGCATAACTCCAACAGAAGGTTTAATTGAAGACTATTCCTGGACAATATATTTTGTGTAAACTGTATATGGAGTGTTGTTTTTGTTGCTCTATGTTGCACCGCATGTCTTATTATTTGTTGCATCGTGTTGCATTTTGTTGCATCTTGTTGATTTTTGTAGTATCATGTTGCATTTTGTTGTATCGTGTTGCTTATTGTTCTTTATTTTTAATTCTGATTTTGCTTGCTATTTATATGTGTTAGTGATTTGGAATAAAAATTTTGTATAGATATATATATATAAAACACCTAAAAAGATAAATTTGGATTTATGAATAAACAAAAAGAAACATGAAGAAACAATCAAAAACAAAAATAATTAAAGTTATCAACAAAGATAAACACAAAGAAACAATATGCAACAAAAGTAATAATTAAATGATAACAATTTTTTTTGTGTTCTGGTTTTATAAATTTAATGAATCTTATTTCTATTTTAATCTTTTTACAATAGTTTTGAATTTTCTGAATTCTTTGAGAATTTATACATTAATTTTAGTTATTTTAATAATTTTTTACAATTGTTTTGAGTTTTTATGAATTTTATGCATTATCTTCAAATTTTTATATGTGTATTTCTGAGAAGTTTAAAACGAATCAATATTCATTTTTTTAAAGTTTTCTGATAATTCATATATTTTTTATTTTCTTGCTTTACTTCATACTTTTCTTATTTTTATGATTTTTGTTTATTTATTTTCTTTTTTTCAGAATATTTTTTATTTTTAAACTTTTTGACTCTTCTAAAAAGTTTTCATATTTAAAAAATAGTATTTTTAATTTCTTCTAATTCTTTTAAAAAGTAATTCGTTTTATTTTATTTTGTAATAATTTATGCTTTTAAGATTTAATGCATTTTCATTTTTGAAAACATGTATTTTCTAGCAGTTTACATTTTTATAGTTGAATAAATTAGAGAAAAGACTTTGCTCGTTAACCATTATTTTAGAGATAAAGACTTTTGCAGTTTGCTTGCTAACACATGAGTGGGCTTCCCGTTTGACAACTTGAGCGATTTTCCGAGGAACAGAGGAAGAAAGATGCGCATAACCAGATAACGTCTATTTATGAAAGAAAATCTCACTTAGTCTATTTTTGAAAAGAATTTCCAAAAGTGATAAAAAGTGATATTACTTTCAATTTTAGCCCATTTGTGATATTTTCCCTTTGTCTTAGGGATGGACTTGACCAGTTCGGACCGACCAGTTACTCGGCCCGGACCGCTGCTGTGCGGTACCGGCCCAGGCGACCGGGAGCGGGCTTTGGGGCCCGAACCGGGGGTAAAATGGGGCGAGCTTCGGGACTTCGGTTTAGTGGACCAGTCCGGGCCATTTTTTTTGGGGGGGGGGGGGGGGGGGGGTTGGCATTGGACCGCTGCTAGGTGGGTTGGGCCAGGTGTTTTGGCGGGGTTTGAGGGTAGGAATAAATTAGAAAAGATTATTTATTTATTTATAAAAATGACCCAACCTGTGCCCAGGTAGTACCGGGCCTTCGGCCCAAATCCCCAGTACCGCCCAATCCCCCCGAACTGGGCCCGGTCCATCCCTAGTTTGTCTCCATTTACCAAACGCTTACAAGTTTCCACAAACAACCAGCAATTCTTCCATATCCCCCCCCCTTCTCTCAATAAATAACCAGCAAATCTTCCCTATCTTAACCCCCCCCCCCCCCTCCCCCACGCTGCTGTTTCTGTACGGCTGAAGGAGCCTAGTGAAAATAACAAAAAATGTGGATGGGTCTTCCATCTTTCAATCATCAATAAATGGATCGGTCTTCCATCTTTAATTCAAAACACAACATTTTGCTTGTAACTTTCTCGACCCATGCATGCATATAAACAGAAAGATTATAAATTACACAAAAAAACATATGGCTATGAGGGGTTTGAGAAAATCACCATTGATGAAGTGTGACATGAGGTGTTGAGAAAAGGGACCCATCCTGACAAGGGTCTGTGTTGTAATACTTTTTGTAACTTGCTTCAACTAATACACTTTGTTCCTTCACATAGGACTAGCCATATAACAAGTAGGACAAGACAAACTGCACCATCCACGGCGAGAATAATCCGAACGAAACGACACCATTTCTTTTGAAAGTTGTGGTGGTGATTGCTTCCCCTCATCATCCTTCCCGACCCAAACTCTCGTTGTAACAACACAGGAGATACTCCCAATGCTTCGGAGTCAACTCTTTCTGTAGACTTCCTATGCTCCATCTCGATACCCTTCACTCCAACAACCACATGCTCCTTTTTATTCTTATTCTTCTTAATGGCATATTTGCTCAACAATGGGGCTCTTGTTGAAGAAGGCCCTCCTTCCATTTGCCCGTTTGCATTGGGGAATGAAGTTGTGGGCACCAACAAGTGGTCTTGATTGGGCATAGTGGGCCACCTAGTGTCCCCACCTGAGACATTCTCTAGTGAGGTAATTAAATTCCTAATTACCGGGACTAGTTGCTCTTGGAGTGTACTTATGGAGCTAAGACTTGACATGCTTCTTCCAGAACTACCCCTTCTTGCATACTTTTCAAATTCGCTTCTAAGATTTTGAAGAAACCGAAGAGCTTCAGCATTTCCGAGAGTGTCTTGTGCAATTGCAAAATAGACATAGCCGCCTTCTTCAATCAAGAAACAGAAAGTCTTTTTACCCATTGTCTGGAAATACCATTGGTGATGAGGTGGCACCTTCTCTAAGCATTGTGTAGCCAAGTTCTCCATCTCTAGGTCTCCTTCGTTGTTATATGTGTACAAAATTCGACCTCCCTTTGATATAGAGCAATAACAAATGCTTTTTTTAGATGAAACCATCATTCTTTTCCTTTTGTCCCAAAAAAAGAAAGAAAAGATGGATTTGAATCTTCACAACTTCAATAAACAGACCTCTCGTTCTCCTTAGCAGCAAGAACACATTCACCTTCAAATCGAACTTTAACAATCATAAAGTTAGCACATTTCCCCTATTTTAGAACTACTTAAGCAATCAAGATCTAAAGAGAAAAAACTGTCCACTAGCTTTTCAGATAGAGGCAATGATCAATCAGATAGAAGTTCTAAAAACCCCTAAAATGCCCAAACAATCCATCTGCAAAATGCTCAAAACCAATTATTAAGTACTACGTATATCATTATTACTCAACGGACATTCAAGATGCTCCATTGCCCTTTCAGGTATCAAAAGAACAAGGAACATGTTTCATGGAGAATCATCAGGTTTCTGGAGAAACCCAAAAGTTTCAATCTGGAATTAAAAGCAAAGGAACAAATGCGAGCAAGAGCTTTGACCGAGTAGTCTATATATTCATACATGTTTAAGTCTTCAAAGGCTTTGAAGACAGGTCCATAGATTCTCAGATGCGCGGAAAAGGGCTTCAAGAAAGGCAACTCTAAGTGGATTTATGAGACGGCGTAACCCGGGATCAATAGATCATCGATGGAGTACGAATAAGTGATCACTGATCCGATCCTCGTCTACGATTAGAAGTATAAGGAAGGAGTAATCCGTTGACTTGATCTAAATATTACTCCCTCCGTCCCGAATTGAATCGCAAACTTTGACTAGCACAAGGATTAAGGAATAATAATAGATGATGTTTGCTTTAACCATCTTTATAAAAGTAGATGCTTTTAAGTTGATGGGGAAAAAGTAAAAATAAGGGTAAATTTGTCACTTTACTCTTATTTACATACCTAAAATAGAAAGTGGAAAATCATTTTGGGACAATCAAAATAGGAAATTTTGCAAATCAAATTGGGATAGAGGGAGTATATGGAGACCACAGTCCCACCAAGTTTGGCCCCAAATACAGTAACGGAAAAGACACCGAGAATAAATATGTACTTCATACCTCTTATTACCTCCCTAAAAGTTATTTCATCCTCAAAAAGTTGGCCAAATTTTCTTTTTTGGATGTCCCAAGAGATTTGTTACTTCTATTTAAAGTAAGGAATACATGGCTAAAATTAATTCTCTCTTCTCTGCACAAATTTCAACCACACAATTTTTACTTTATTAATCCACGTGAAAGTCAACATTGGTCAACCTTTTTGAGACGGAGGGAGTATGTTGTAAGCTCCGGACCGGTGATCGACCCGGTCGAGGACTAGGTCACGGCTCAACCCGAACCCGGTGGGTCAACCTGGTCAACGCCGGGAAAACCCGATCAACATTTATAATAAACTTTTATACAAGTAGCACTTAATAATAGAATATTATTAGGCATATTTGTTTCCTATTATTAAACTCCTTTACTATAAATACACAGGCCATGACTTCTATTGGAGTACCTAAAGGAGTTTAAACTTTTATTAAACTCCTTTACTATAAATACACAGGCCAAGACTCCTATTGGAGTACCTTTTCCCGTTAATTCTCACATGGTATCAAGAGCCCAAAGAAAAACCTAATTTTTTTTTTCGCTTTTCCCTTGGAATCATCGTCATCGTCGTTCTCTTCCCTCCCGCCATGAACACGGCCGCAACTTCTTCTTCCCTCTCAATGGATTCTTCCATCTTGGCGGTCTCTGGCGCTTCCCTTCCAAGTGGCGCACCTCTCTCCCATGGTTCGCAGCCCAGTTTGTCTGGTCAGCAGGTTTCTTCATCTCCTTCGTAGCCCCAATTTCATGGTGCGCAGGTCTCCTCTGTCTCTGCTTCGCCCAGTCGCATTACTCTGCCAAATTACTCACTCTTCCAGAATATGCCGCCAGTGTTTTCATGGCCTGCTCCATCTCCAGTTCAGCACCCCACTCTAGATCCGCCGCCCTCTCTCTCTGCACCACCGGCGAATCAATTCTCGGGACACACGGTGGTTGGTTCTCCAGGGATTTCATCTTCTGTTCCAGCACCAAGGACTGCACTGCCACCGGCTTCTCCATTCTTTGGCCCCTCGTTTGCTGGCTTCCCGGGTGTCATTCGGCCAAAACATGATCCTTCTTCTCTTGGTTCTCCTATGGCAACCATGGCTCAAGCTGTGTCTCATGGGATTGCTAATGTTGGCCAGATTGTCACCATCAAACTCAAAGCGGTTGAAGACTATCTTACATGGCGCACTCAATTTGAATCGTTTCTGGTGTCCCAGGGTCTTTTTGGTATTTTAGACGGCTCCATTCAGGTACCTCCCTTATACATAGTGGATTTTAATAATCATCAAATCATTAATACTGATTATTATCATTGGCTTCGGGTAGATCAAACAATACGTTCTTGGTTGTTTGCTACTTTATCTCGTGAAGTATTAACTGATGTTCATGATATTAAACATTCACTTGGTATATGGGAGCGGTTACAATCACGATTTATGTCTGCCAGTTTACCTAGAGTAATGGAACTTAAACGTTTATTGTCTAATACTAAAAAGAAACCTACTCAATCTATGGAGCATTACTTACGTGAACTTAAAACTTTGGCTGATGCTTTAGCTGCCATTAATTCGCATGTGACTCATAAAGAATTACTACAAAGCACGCTCCTGGGATTAGGACCTGAATATCGGTTTCTTACGGGCACCATATCTTTGTTTCATGAGAGCTTTCCCTCTGATATTCTCCACCCACGCCTCATGGAAGCTGAGCAGCACCTTTTGCATCAACAGCAGCACGACGATTCCCTTCCTCAACAGGCTTTTGGTGCTCAAGTGGGGGCTGGGCAACCGAGTCAGTAGAATGATTACCGTGGCCGCGGGGGTCGCGGCAGAGGCGGACGAGGCCGCGGGGGTCGCGGCAGAGGGGGCGACATCAGCAGCAGCCGTTTTATGCGCCACCAGCAGCTCCGGCACCCTTCCATCTACCAGGGTCGAGACCTGCAGGGGGTGTGCATGCCCCGAGACCTTCTAATGATACATCCGGTAAATCGGTTTTGTCCAATTTAAATATTAATGCTCATTATACTTCTGGTACTAATTGTCATTATGCAGGTTTCCCATCCGCTGAGGGTATTCTTGGTTCTGTTCCTTCCCCAGTTGTGTGTCAAATTTGTTTTTCTGCAGGTCACTCTGCGTTGCACTGTCCATCCCGATTTTCACAGCCCTCTGCGCCTGCTTTGATCACTCCAAGTGGTGAATCAAACGATCTTTTGTGGTATCCCGACTCGGGAGCTTCTGCTCATATGACATCGTCTGAAGGTATTTTGTCAAATAAATTCCCTTACTCTAGCTCCATGACTGTTAGTGTTGCGAATGGTACTACTCTTCCCATTGCTAATATTGGAAATATTACATTAAATACTCTCAGCCGCCCGTTATCTTTGAAATCTGTTTTTCATGTGCCTCGAATTAAATTTAATTTAATTTCCATTCAAAAATTGTGTGCTGATAACAATTGTGTTGCCGTTTTTGATAAAAACTATTTTTTTGTTAAGGAGAAAATTTCGGGGGCAGTTCATCTTCAGGCGCGTCATAATGGACATCTTTACCCTATCAGCCTCACTTCTTCTGCACCTGTAGCTTTAGCCACTATTACTTCTCCTGGCCCTGTGTGGCATCGTAGATTAGGACATTGTGGTGAAACTATTTTGTGTGTGTTGCGTCGAAGAAAACTTATTTCTAGTTCTTCTACTTTTGAACATGATTGTGTTTCTTGTCGTTTGGGTAAATCTCAACGGTTACCTTTTTCGGATGCTAGTCATAACTCTTCTGTACTATTACAATTAATTCATTCTGATGTATGGCAATCACTTGTTCTATCTAATTTAGGTTTTAAATATTATGTGTGCTTTATTGATGATTTTTCTCGATTTACCTGGATATATCCTCTGCGCACTAAAAATGAAGTCTTTCATCACTTTAAAACTTTTAAACTTTTAGTTGAGAATTTGTTTAACTCTAAAATTAAAAAATTTCAAAGTGATGAAGGGGGTGAGTTTGTTAATTCTCATATGCACCAATTTTTAGCTGATAATGGCATCCTATTTCAAAAGTCTTGCCCAAATACTCCTCAACAAAACGGTGTTGCTGAACACAAACATCATCATCTTTTAGAATTTGCTAGAACTATGCTCATAACAGCCTCTATTCCTAGGGCCTACTATGCTTCCTGGGCCTATTGGGCCTCCCTTAGAATAGTAGGAGTCTATGGGCTGGGGGTTTCTGGGCCATATACTCCGTCAGGAGTCCCTAACTCCTTTTGCCGAAAGGTACTTGAGGGAAAAGGAGTAATTTGTGTTTGTCCTTTGGTGTTGTTCCGTTATAGTTTGCAAAGTTGGTAAGGAGTTTGTCGTTTGCATGATTTGCCGAAGGCAGTCCCTCAGTTACCCACATGTCGAGACTTGAGGGACCACATTGCTGTTTTGGGGAGTTTTTGATATTTTGTATTTTGAGATTTTTCCCGAAGGGGCTCTCCAGTCCCTCACTCCTTGAGGCACTTGCAAAGTGATGAAAAGGAGTAGAGTAGTGCCTGCCTGCAATATGAAGCCGAGGGGTGATGCTTTTCGTTTCATTTTGGGGGGATGCCTCGTTAAAAACCTCATTGGAAAAAACCATGTGGGAAAAAATTCCAATGAGGGAAAAAGAGTGCACCGAATTCCCCCAATGATGAGTCGAAAAGGTGAAACCCTGGTCTGAAATGAGTGGCAGTATTCTTGCCGAAGGCCATCCTTTTCTAAGGGCGCATGTGTTATGATAAGTTGAGGGTCGTGGTACCCCGGGGGGTTTCCTTGTTGCGTAGCCGGGGGTAACTGTTGATGAAGGTGTGCTCCCCAGGGGTTACGTGGCCCTTAATGTGTTTGAGGGCTGGGTGTTCCCGAGGGGTGTGCCCGTTGTGAAGTAGTGGGCTCCTGAAGGAGTGAGCCCGAAGGCACTTGTGATGTATTATGAGGGGCATTGGCCGGGAGCACTTCCGGGTAAGTGTACCCGGGGGCTCCTCTTGATGAAGTGGAGTGAAGGAGACAGCCCGGGTTCCCAGAATATATCCGTTGTAATAGAGCCGTTGGAAGATGTAACGTCGGAAATATAGCCATTGGAGGGGGGCCTCCACGTGGCATGCGTTCATTGGCCGCCTGTGGGCGGGCGTCACCGATTAGGCAACTCGACGGTTTGTAATGATTGTTTGGCGACCGGAGGCCCGATTTTTGGCCCAAGGCCATGTTTGTGGTGCCTATAAATACCCAAGGCCAAGGACCGCTCCTCTTGTGCGATCATTGTTGTTAGCGAAGCTCTGCCGAATTTTCTAGAGAGAGAAGCTCCAGCCTTCGGTCAAAATCAGTTCCGAGAGGTCAGTCCTTGCTCCGTTCTTGGCAATTCTTGCATACTTCGCTTCCCGGCCTTAGGTTAAGTGTTTGTAGCTTAGAGTCTTTAGAATCCCCCTCCGAACCCTTGGTTTAGTATCAAAAATGTCTTCACAAAGTGATTCCCAAGACATTTCGAGGGAGCCTTCAGTTGAAGCGGAAACATACTCTGACATCGAGCCTTCGAGCGAGGAGTCTTCGGCGGGTGATGACGCTGCTGTGGCCATGGAGGTGGAGAAGGACCTCAGGGCCGAGGTCGAAGCCGA